TTTCTATTGTTGATCATCTGGTGGTAAATAATTATTTATTATTACAGTTTTTAAAACTGCATTAAAGGTAACACATGGGCATAAGTCATGGATTTTTAAGGTTCGCTATTTAATTTAATTTAATTTAGATTAATTTAATTTTTTTGCTCCTTCCTAATGGAGAGAAAAAATTTTGAAGATTAATATTGAATGCACAGAAAGAAAGTACGTAACATACGTAACATAAAATTTATCACTTTAGCGCTGAAATACCTCCAATTGCCTTTTTTATCTTTAAATTGCATCGACTGATATTATAGACACATGCAGAAAATCAAAACTAACATGGAAATGTATAACTAGAGCTATCTGTTTCTTTTGTGCTTAACAGGAACAAAAAGGGGTTCGAAAACCTCTTTAGTCACGAAAATGTTTATGGCATTTATAAGCCTCTTCTTTTTACTATTTCTTTTCAGATTAATTTGATTTCATTCATCACCATCATTAAATAGATTATTACAGCTTATATATCGATTTTAAATGCTGATCTCTTAGAATAATCTGTATTGATGCTTTTTACATTAGGACAATTATATATTTTTATACCAAATAATGTGTAAAGTCATTAGGTTAATTGGTAGCAGAAAAGATGAAAAATATTCAACCGCCTTCGCCGGGAATCGAACCACGGATCTCTGGAATACCGACCCAGCGTGCTACCGTTACCCAACAGGCACTCTAAGAAGGGGAGAAATACCTGATATATCCCCTTTCAAAAGCGCTAGGGTTTAGGGACCTAGTCGCAAAATCTGGGTGCAGAGAATCATGATCCACAACCCTTTTTCGGGCGCCACTTGTAGAGGCATTAGGTATATTTTAGAAAGCAGGCAAGATGAAAAATTAGCAACCGCCTTCGCCGGGAATCGAACCACGGACCTCTGGAATACCGGCCCAGCGTGCTACCGTTACACCACGAAGGCACTCTAGGGATGTGGGAGAAATACCTTATAAATGTAATCATCGTAACAACAATATATTTGAATATCAATATATTGGAATATTTTTAATCATAACGCAAGCATGTAGACAATATTTTTTTTAGAATGCCGGGCCCTCAACCGACTTAGGTTTGGGCACAAGTAGCCAGAAGTGGTGGTCACTTTATTACGGAGGCACCTAATAGATGGGTCATCTTTGCTTCTTATGAAGGGAGGGACAGTTAATACAACCATGCCTTCTCCGGGGATTTGAACCCGGGTATTTTGTTATCTCAGTCGGCTGCCCTATCGACTATACCGTCTGGGTGGCACATGCAGGCACTACGGTATGATGAACAGAGTAAATTTCCTGAGTAACATATCGATGCGTATGTTCTAGCTGTATAAAATAAATAATTTAATGAGTTGTATGGCCTTTTATAAAGACCTTTTAGGACATTTGTATGGCAAGGCAACCTGATGCACAGTTTATTACTTATGACTGTGCAATTTCCATCTGTGACTCGATTATCGAATAACATAATTCGGCCTAGAATGAAGTTCAATCTCAGAAAGCTGAAATGAAATGTCAATGATTTATGGATCAAGGATTTTTCTTGACCAAATGAAACTATACAATCATAATTAGGGCACCAATAAAATTTTAAAAAAATAAATAAAAGTTGTCCTTGCGTCAGAAAGAAAATCAGAGCGAAGTTTCTTTCATCGTGGTGGAAGCAACTCTAAAAGTGAAACCTCCATTTTAAATCTGAACTCATCAGTACTCAAGAGTTTTGACATTATTTGCTACTCAGCCGCGTTCGGAGGAACCGACTTGCATAATATGTAAACATGGAAATGTGGCATCCGCTACGTTTTAACCCCGCCTCATTACCAAGATGAGACAGAAAATGCGAATGTTATCATTTCTAAAAATGGTATACTTTGAAATTACATTATATGGTGTAAAAAAAACAATAATAAACATGATCTTAGATAACTGGTCTGTTGCATACATATACATACCACAGATAAGCCGAGTTAAATGTTTTCTTTCTTTTTTTAGGAGGTTGATAAGATGGGTACAAGTAGTGAGACTGATAAGAGATACGAGGGAAGTCGGGAGGAAGGAGGGTACATGTACCGATATCGTATCATCAAACATGTTCTAGAATAAAGAAACAATTTCCTTAGAGGAACAATGGCTTAAAATTGTTCACAGCTAAGTAGTTATTAAGAAGAGGGGAAAGTTGAGGAAAGGTAAGGAACACAGAGAATTAAAAATCTGAGGCTTTTTTAAATGATCTTTTATATATGATGATGAATGTTAATTATATTATCATTCCTGTATTTTCATTACAATAATTTTAGCATTTGTCAAAGATATTTCCTGTCTGTCATTCAGAATAAAAAAATTACTTACAGCAAACAAATGCACGAAATATATATGTAATAATAAAATTCCATAGTCAAGAATACACTTAAAATTCTAACTGTATGTTCTTTTCATTTTTAATGGCAACGGTCTCTATTTGAAATACTTGGAATAAATACACATCCCCGTAGTCAGTTGTTTTCCCGCCTTTCTACACGTACAGTATAGAAGTTTGGAGATATTTAAAGCGAACTGGAATGGCTGACGAGGCTGACGTCATTTCTTGGAGCTCCGCCGTTCCAGAGGCTATAAAAGCATTCGCAAGATATCGGGGTCTTTTCTTTTAATGTAACGATGCAGTAAACTTCACGCAAAAGTTATTAGTAATTCTTTTTATTTACTTCCAGATATCAGATTTTGTAATTGCTATTTCTCCGAATCATAATAAATGGATCTGTTTTTTAAACTTATCGTCTGATACTTTTGAGCTACAACTACATCTATGATTCTTCACCAATCTATTTATTCCGGACAAAAGCTGGTACATCACATATATATATACATGAGGTACTAGAGATTATAATTTTGCTGACTGAGTAGAAAAGCCAAAGGAGCGTTTTTTCTCAGTTGGACTTAAAGTTTGAATAAAAATTGATTAAAATATGTGTTTTGAAAGTTGATACATGTACAAACTTCACTTCTCGCAAATGCGGCTTCTTCGGCTGAAATAATGCAGACATTTTTAAAATTTTAGCTATCCTACTTTCATTATTTCTATCCTATTTTGCATAGCTTGGGTGCTAAATGCTGCTGAACTAAATATCAGTAGATTGTCATACTGATGGCTGATAGGTCTGGCAGCAAGTACGTTCTTGCTCTCTTTCTCCACGTATGAGATAAATACGAGTGAAGTTTATATCAAAACAGGAAACAAGAACAATGTGGAATACCCTCGCCTGTATTCGAACTTCGAAACTCCCGATTTCCGGCCGGATGTGATTCTAATTACATCATGAAGACATTCGGTAACGAAAGAGAAAGTTTCATGCATTCTTCCCCAGTTAAAGAGCAACTGCGAGGAGGAACCCAGAATGAAGCTCACCTTGAAATCTTCGTATTATCGAGTTAAAATGACATTGCCCTGGAACGGGCGAAATTATAAACAGATCTAACATATTGTTACGATTTTTGTATTTAGTTTGCTATTTTTAGTAGAATTGTAATTAAAATTGTTTTATTTCCCCTTGTAATGCAGCGCGTGACGAGTTTTAAAAGAAAGTTACCCCGAAGAAGTAAAAATACACGAGCACGCACATTTAACAAATAGATATCTCGTAATTGCATTCTTTTGCTTTCCAGAAACCTAGAGAAAGTACCAGAATGTTCTCGTGCATGATTAAAAAGCTTATAAAAGCCGGATCAGAACACCTCAGTTCAGTTGCTTATTAGCCGTTTACTTTGTTGTTGATTGCAGCAAATTCGCGGGGAGATCGGATTAGCTTTCTCTGCATTATGAATTGTATTCTATTTGACGTTTTAATAGTTTAAAATATAACTACAGTGTGATATTGTACGAATATCTGTGAGAGAACATTTCAGCATTTTCTTTTATTTCTTGTGATAAGAATAAAATTTTTTATCTTTTCATCCGACTTGTGCATTCAGTCTATTACGAACCCAATATTAACTAATTTAGAAGTCAAACAACAAAAATCAGCGTCATATTTTCAAATTTTTCACAGGACTAGTTTCGAAGGTTTTACCGAACCACCATCGTTAGCTGCAAAAGCGCAAATGAACGAGATAGGATATAATGATCAGATAAGATAAGAAAGCCTGGACAGAAAATAAGCTAGTGGCGCCATCTGTTGATGAAACCAGAACTAAAACATAATTTCTTTAAAAGCAAAGATGGATTGGAATTAGGATTGTTAACTAGAACGGAAAGATTTTTTTTTGAATGTGAAATGCCTCTAGAAAATCCAGTTCTCCAACGAAAGATGTTTCTTGAATCATCCGAAAATCCGAAAATAACACTTTCAATTTTTCTGCTGCCAAAATTATACAAAAAAACATCTTTCATTGGAGAACTGGATTTTCTAGAGGCATTTCACATTAAAAAAAAACTTTCTGTTCTAGTTAACGATCCTAATTCCAATCCATCTTTGCCTTCGGCCTTTAAAGAAATTATGTTTTAGTTCTGGTTTCATCAACAGATGGCGCCACTAGCTTATTTTCTGTCCAGGCTTTCTTATCTTATCTGATTATTATATCCTATGTCGTTCATTTGCGCTTTTGCGGCTGACGATGGTGTTTCGGTAAAAACATCGAAACTAGTCCTGTGAAAAATTTGAAAATATAACGCTGATTTTTGTTGTTTGACTTCTGAATTAGTAATTGTTCGGCGTGTTATTGTGTCTCCAATATGTAACTGTCAAAAATTTCTCAAACTCTGAATTTAGGTAAAAAACATTGAGCTGTTAGATTGAAATCTAACATCTCAAAGAGTTTATCTTTGGAATTTTAAGAATAAAATTTTTAAATTATGAAAATCATGAACTTTTAAAATCGAGTTATCTAACCTTCGTTAACTGAATGCATTTAATGCCTAAAACAATTCTAAGTTATACAGTTACGATAAGCGTACTAATTTAAAAATGAATATCCCAGAAACTCAAGAAATGGAGCAGAAAATTGAACATAAATACAAAACAAATTGTAGGTAAACGGTTGGCAGGAGGTAAAGGGTTCTTTGATATTATTTCATAACGAATTATTACCACAGACAGATTCATGCACTTATTTATAAGAAAAAGTCTTAATTATTCAAGACATAACTGTGCAGTTATTTAACTAGATGACTTATGCACAAGGCTTACAACAAATGTTTCCTTCAAGTGGCCATATTGTTGCGTGCGTACGGGTTCGTTATGAAATGAATGCACAAGTCCGATGAAAAATGAACAAAAATTTATTATTATCACAACAAAAATGCTTAAATTTTCTCAAATAATCGTGCAGTATTACAATATCTCACAGTAGTTACCTTCTAACTACTCAAATGTCCAATAGAACGTAATTCAAAACAGCTAAAGAACGCTAATCCGCGAATTCACTACAATCAACAAGAGCAGTTTTCTAAACAACAACAAACTAAGCAATTACTACAAACTGAGATGTTTTCCTCCTTTTATAACATTTTAAAATCACGCGCTAGAATTTTCCAGTACTTTCTCGAAATCAAAAAAGAGATATTTATTTATTTAATGCACGCGCTCTTGTATTTTCAATTTTCCGGCTTAGCTTTCTTTTAATATTCGTCACGCGCTGCACTGCGCGAGAAATAAAACCATTTAATTTATAATTGAACTAACACTAGCTTTTTAAATACCAAATTCGTAACAATATTTTTTATTTTGTTAAAACACAAAATCTTATATAAAAGCTCATAATAAATATCTCAGATGAAACAATAAACACCTCAGAAGAATAATATTAAAAATTATAAATTAAAAATATAATATTAAAAATTTTCATTTTCTAAAATCTATCAGTTTCATCTGACGAATAAATACTAAATTAAGACACAATAACACCCGAATAAATACTAATCAGAAGTCAAACAACAAAAATCAGCGTTATATTTACTTTCACAGGACTAGTTTCGATGGTTTTACCGAACCACCATTCTCAGCTGCAAAACCGCAAATGGAACCGCAAAACATTTGCGGTTTAGCAGCTGAGGATGGTGGTTCGGTAAAACCATCGAAACTAGTCCTGTGAAAATTTTGTAAATATAACGCTGATTTTTGTTGTTTGACTTCTGAATTTGTAAAATACTAAATTGTTATCAATATTTCTTATTTTACTTTAGCTACTTGGATTTTACTTTCATTTTAAATGTCTTTCTGATGTATGGCGTCTGATTTTCATAGTTTCACTTATGTTTATTTCCAAACGAGTTCAGTTCTCTTGTTCCATCCTCTTCCTCAGGCATTCATGTGCGGTAAGAAATTAACACAGCAAAATGGAAAGTGTTTCAAACTTCAAGAAATCACTTCATCTCCAAAGGAAAGTAAACAAAATTTTAATTATAAGGATTGTTTTTGAGTTTCTAGACATTAACGGATGCGTTGCTTATGATACTGTATTATTCTATTTATGTATTTTTCTCTGAATTTAACAAGTTGCATACAAATGTACGTAATATTTTATGCTTGAAACATTATTTAGTTTTGACGGCGGATGGAATTTGCTTCCGAAAATTTGTTCATATGCTTCCATTTCGGTGTAACTATCATATTTGAATTTTCGCCTTATTTTACTTTCAGCTCAGTAACTGATCATTATTACACGTAATGATGTTGTCCGCTCATCGATAATTTGTCATGAGATCTGGGCGCAAAATGAGGACGTTGACTCATTAGATATCAATTATTAACTAACTCCTTGTTGGGCGTTGCCTATTTATCGATACTTAGAAGTTAATTGTTACCTTATGACTAATTTCTGAATTTAAAGTCGCTATAATAATGCGAATCTTAATTATTAACCTAATCCCTGTTTGAGTAGAATAGTGGCAATTAGAATAATGGAAAATAGGAAGTTAAGCAATAACTACTAATTTAAATAATTATAATTGATCTTAAACCCTTCCTAAGAGAAAGGCGGGAATGTTAAAACGAAACAATATATGAGAGTTGGTATTTATTACATTCAAGTATGTGAAGAAAAAAAATCTGATGTGGATCCCACATGACTTCCTTGTACGGCCCGTTAAATTATACACATTTTATGCTGCATTTTATTTAAATTTATTTCCTTGAATTTAATTTGAGAGATGCTTCTCATTCAATTAATTCAGTTCTCAGTTCGCGGCAAGGCC